GAGACCGGTGACAGTGCTGTCGTGGCGATGTTGAGTGAGGACTTCCTGCACGTCGTCATCATCGCTCTCTGGTTCGGGCGGTGCTGGCGGTGCTGTGTCTCCGCCGCCTCTGTTTCCTCCTGCTGTGCCTCCTCCTGTTGCGCCTCCTGTTGCGCCCGTTCCTTCTTCTCCTGAATCATCGTCGTCGTCGTCGTCGTCGCGGCGATCGCCCCTTGTGAACTCGCCTCTGGGATCCTGCTCCAGGATTGCTGCTGCAGCTTCGTCCTCAGGTGAAGCGTAGCTGTGGCCCTCGTTAGCGTAGACGCGGTTTGCGTTCGTCTGTTCGTCGACGCGGAATTGTTGCAGGAACAACCGTTCGTAGAAGATAACGTCGCGCGCATTCTTGATTTTCTGGCTTAGGAGATCCAGGACGATCCATGCTTTGTGTTCGTGACTGATGCCGAGGTGGATTCCCCAGCGCGCGCGGCTCTTGAACTTCACGATGGTTGACGTTGGCGGTCGGTATTGAACCATGCACCCCCAGACGCGGAGCATAGAGGTGTCCCCCTTTCTTCCCGTCCATTTCACATGCGGTGAGGAGTTGCCGGTGATTGCGGTGGTTGACAGCAGGTTGTGCACCCGCACAGCGTGGTGCATCGCGTAGGTCCAGTAGATCGGCGGGAGCTTCGCCTGTCGCATTAGCGCCCGCACTTTCGTCATGAGAGTGCGGTTCGTGCGTTCTGCTACGCCTTGCTGCTGATGCGCGTAGGGGAGAGAGATGTGATGCTCGATCCCCTTTTGCGCGAGGAAATCCTGCAGCTCCTTGCTCCTGAACTCCGCTACGCCATCTGACTGCCAGATCTTCAATTTCTCCCCAGATTGCCGCTGCGCGTGCGCCAGCCACAGACGAAAAGCTTCGTAGGCTCTGCTGCGTGCTTCCACGTTTACGACCCACACGTGGCGCGTTCCGGCGTCGACGAAGGTGAGAGTGTAGAGTTCGTCGTTGATGCCGCAGTGTCCTACGTTGAGAAAGTCGCTGTAAACTTTCTCAAGCTTGGCGTAGCGATTGGTTCCCAGCTCAAGTAGGGGGAAGGGCTGGTGACTCAGCGCAGCTTCGGGGCAGACAGTGCAGCTGCGCGGATGAGTCCCTCCTCTCACTTCGGAGCCGTCAGGGCGCAACAGCGCGCCGGGTGCAAAGACTCCGGCTTCGATGCAGTTCTTCAGGGTCGCGCGCGAGGGGTGACCTAGGCGCTGATGCCAGATGGCGTCGTCGGCGCGGAATCCAGATGTGCGCATGTAGCGCTCCAGTGCGGCTGCGGGGTCTTCGTCAGGTGCCGGTGCAGGTGTGGGCGCTGCTTCCTCGTTCTCTTATTCTTCTTCGTTTGCCGTCGTGAGCATGAGAGCGAGAAATTCTCTGTCGCGGATGATGGAGTAGGGGATGTTGGTTCCGGGGATCGTGCCGGGGATGTATGTTGGTGAGCGCGGTTCAGGTGCAGGTCCGTAGACGGTACGGCGCGGAGTGGATGGCTCGTTGCCCCAGTCGATGGTATCCCAGGGGTCACTGCCTGAGGGGATGTCTGGTGGCGGAGGTCCTAATGCAAGGCGGCGCGGAGGGCGTCCGAGAGGGACAATAGGAGGTTCAACCTCAACTTGCGCAGGTTCTTCTTCCTCTTCCCCCCTTTGATCCTCGCGGAAAGCTCCCCAGCCGCTTGTCTCGCCGCCTTGTGCGGCGCCCCATCCGCCGATGTTTGCGCCTGTTGCTGCGCCCCATCCGCCGGTTGCGTCGCCCCAGCCGCCGGTGTCGCTCGTTCCCCAGCCGCTGGCGCTCCCCCACCCCCCTTCATTGGAGGCGCTTTCCTCGTCCTTTTCCCAGGCGAGCGTTCCGCGTGCCTCGGCGAGGCTCTTCTGCAGAAGCTCTTCGGCTTCGCGTTGCGCCAACGCCTCTTCCTCCGTAGGCGAGAGCCGTTTCTTCGAATCGCGCCGGTGAGAGTAGATCTCTGCCGCCTTCCGTTTGGTGTAGGGCCGGGGATTCCCATGCGCGTCGAAGGTGCCGACGCCAACGCCGCGGAGCATTCCTTGGAGATGCTGGGATGCGGGTCCGGGAAGAGGGTGTTCCGGTGTGCCGAATACTACTTGTGTAGCTGTTTCCAGCTCCAGCTGGGAGAGACCCTCTTCAGGCGGTGCGTCGCGCTCTTGTTCGCGAATGGCGGCGAGGCCACGCTCGGCGATCGCGCTCGTCGAAGAGGTCGGCGTGTGGCAGTCCCTGCAGACACCGTCAGCATCCGGGTCGTGCAGCGCCAGTTCGCGCGGGTGTGGGTGGTGTGGCACCCAGGGGCGCCCATCGGGGTGCTTCCAATCACGGCGAAGGATGTGTTCGAAGCGCAGAGGGACGAGGTCGATTAAGTCCTGCGAGTCGCCGCTGTAGTCGGGAATGTCGAAGTCGAGAACGTATACGCCGTTTTCGGCGCGCGCTCGTCCGATCTGCTTGCGCTTCTGGTTCGGCATCGTGCAGTGGAGCAGGATGTCGCGCGTCTCGGGGTCGGTGCTGAGAATGACTCCGCAATCCAGGAGTTGCGCCGTCGAGAGTAGATTAAAGCGCAGGTTCTGCACAATCAATACGTCGTTAAGTGTGATGTGCGTTCGGCTCCCTCGTGCCTTGAGCACCACAATGCCTTGCGCGCTTGCGCGCAGCCGCGTGTTGTTCGCCACCGTGACGTAGGTGACTTCGGGGGTGGCGACGGCGTTGGATATGTAACGCTCGGAGCCCACCATGTGCTGCCCACAGCAATTGTCCAGGTACCAGTTGTTGTAATGCCTGTTATCGTTTCGCGCGAGCAGCGCCAGTCGCGGAGTGACGATATGCGGAGTATCGACCTTGAGAAATTGTTCACGCGCGATCCAATCGATCGGTGCTGGCCGCATGTCAGGTACGTGCGGAGGGCTCTCAAGCTGCGGGACTGGCAGATTCCAGTCCTGGTTGTCGTTGTCACTGTAGTCGTGACGCGTGCTGAACGGATTGTTGTTCGGAGACGCTTGGATGGGGTCGGGCGCAGGCTCAGGCGAGGGTGAGCGTGCGCGCGGGCGACGAGAGCCGCTCGTCATGGTCATGTTCCCCATGACGTTGCGGACGGGGGCAGCCTGTGATGGCTGCTGCTGCTGCTGAGTTGTTGGATTCGGGTTGCGCGGTGGGGGTTGATGCCCCTGGGCGGGACGCGTATCATTCCTCACGTCTTGTCGGCCGGACCAAGTGCTCGGATTGGTCTGGCGAGGGCGAGATCGATGCTTGCATCGATCCGCCAAGTGCCCGAAATTTCTGCAGATCTTGCAGTAAAGGCGCCGTGGTCGTCGCTCTTCCGTGTTGTCCGCGTAGAATGCGAGACGTTCTCTCTCTCGTCGTGGCGCTGGTCGCTGCTGGTCCATATCCCGTTGTTCGACGAGGAGGGCGGCGCAAAGGGCGGCCTCCGAGATGACCCCCTGCTGTCGGAGCAGCGCTTGCAGGGCCGCCACTCGGGTCCGAGCCCTTGGAGCACGATATTTACGAAGATTTCTTCAGAAATCGTACTCCCCAGTTTCGCGATTTGATCGCGTAAGCTCCGACAGCGATTCAGATAGCTGTTGGCCTTCTCTCCTGGTGCCATCTTGGTCTCCAGTAGCTGCTGGAGCAGGCGGCTCGACGACACTGAGTCCTTGGGTTGGTACACACCGTTTAGGTGGCGCCAGGCGTTGAGGGCGGGAGCTGGAGAAGTCTTGTATGAGCGGATGCTCAACTGCTCCGTCGGCGACATATTTCGCAAGAGAACCCCGTACGCCATCAGGGACTCGTTGTAGTACTTGGTTTTTGCGTCGTCAGTGTCCTCCGTAGGTCCCGAGTAGCTCCCGTCGAAGTAATGATAAATCTGCGCGTTTTGCAGCAGCAGCTCCAGCTCGAAGCTCCAGGTGTAAAAGTCTCTGCCGTCAAAGCACACACTTGTCTTTATTTTTGATATGCTCAGGAACCTTGATTGCGCAGAGAGAATTGCTTCATCAGTGGGATAGGGATTCTTGGGGGTTGAGCCGTTCGTATCAAGAGAGAAGCCTTGCGGGGCGGAGTTCTGGCCGTTTGAGGCCGGTTGAGTGGGTTGGGAAGAAGTTCCCGCATCGCCATTCCGCAATGTCTGGAGCCCTTGTTCCAGGCTCGTGAGTCGCTGAAGTAGTTGTGCGAGGACGGCGGAAGGAATCGTCGTCGTTTCCTCGTTTGTCGCAGCCGGGTTGGGCTGCGCTTCAGCCGTCAGATTCGTCTGACCTCCAGATCCTCCGGCCATTCTTACACGTGATCGTGTGCCGGACGCCACTTTCCGAATGTCGCAGTTTTTGGAGATGGCAGTGCGTTTCCTGAGTCGCTCTCATACCATGTTGCGATCAAAAGGGATCGTAACCAGGATCACCTCAGGAAGGTTCGCACAACTCTAGTGAAGTGGTGGTGGGCCCTTGACCTCAATAGCAGAGTGAATGTAGATGCTTGAGATAATGAAAACATGCAGTACAAGGAATATAAATACGAGTACAGGGGAATTCGAAACGACCTAACTAGCCATGTACTCTAAGGGGTACATTCCCTTATTGCAGCGAAACCCAACCGTGCGACTCCGGGTGGTTACGTAACTGTTCGGGCAGAATCCTCGCCACTGCTGCTGTCCGATGCTGTCTGCCCGACGGTCCAGATGCTCTTCGTAACCGTCTGTCCCTTCGCGTTTCTTCTGCCTTTTCGTCTTCACTCTCGATAGTGCGTGCTTCGGCTTTGCTACGGTGAGGAGTGCGCAATAGTGTTTTTCATTAACCACTATTCGTAACAGTTTTTATATCCCTGTGCCACTATAAAAAAAAAAGGGGCAGCGCAGTGGTCTTTTCAGTGACTGCTCAGCACCGAACACAACAGTGCATATCAACCGGCGAAGATTCCATTCTATGACATAAAATGACCATTTTTTGGCGCCAGGAGCGCGTGGGCGCAAATGCGACCAGCAGCCGAATTCGATCGAAGATCACTCGGCCTTCTTGCGGTGGCGTCGGGAGCGAGTGGGAATGACGGAGAGCAGCACGTTGAGCAGGATGGGAACGATCGTTCCCATGAAGAAGAGTGACCGCCACACTGCGATGGTCTGCCCCGCTTGCAGCACCTGGTGGGGGGGGGGGCGAAGGCAGTGTGGATGATGCGAATTTGAGAGTTCACAGGCACAGGAAAGGAGCGGATGGGAGAGGGAGGCACTACAGCTTGCCCCGCTTGCAGCACCTGGGGGGGGGGGGGGGGGGGGGGGGAGGGGATTGCAGAGAGCGGAATACGAATTTGTGAATTCACAGAGATGGGGTGGTTCATGAGGAGCTGCTTGAACACGGCTGGGGAAGGCAGGCATGAGATACTAGAGAGGCAGAGAGGAGTTCCTCTTTCCCTTTTTTCACGAGGAAGCCAGCGAAGGAGTGGTTCACGATAAGCTGCTTGAACACAGCTTGGGTGGAGGCCGGCATTACGTACCTCACCCTCATTACCAGGCCGGCATGACGTACCTTGCCCTCATTACCAGGCCGGCATGACGTACCTTGCCCTCATTACCAGGCCGGCATGACGTACCTTGCCCTTCCACCAGGAAAAAGTGCTCCTCTTTCCCCTTCTTCCCTTTCACTTCCCCTTTCCCCTTGTCCTTGCTCACGAGGAAGCCAGCAAAGGAGTGGTTCACGATGAGCTGCTTGAACACGGCTTGCAGCAGGAAGGAAGGCGTGACACACCTGCCCCATCTGTTACCACGCGGGCATGCTCCTCTTTCCCTTTCCCTTTCACTTCCCCTTTTCCATGCTCCTCTTTCCCATGGCCCCGTGGCTCACCAGGAAGCCAGCGAAGCACATCTTGAACATGGCTTGCACATAGACACATGAGCGGGCATGGTGACCTTCACGGCTGCTGCCTTGTGGGAGGGCACGGCATACCAGGAAACCTCTTAACACACCAGGACCCCGTCAGCACCACAGTACCAGCAATTCTCCACATACCAGGAAGCCAGCGAAGGAGTAGTTGACGATGAGCATCTTGAACGCGGCTTGCAGCACGTCCAGGATGGCCTTCACTGCTACCGATGGCTCCGGGAATGCTGCTGCCGTGTGCCGGAATGCCACTGTGGTGATACATGCCATGCCATGAGATGCCGTGCCATGTCACACACAGACACATGAGCGGGAATGCATGGGGTGTGGGTTAGGATCAAGAAGTGGGTGAGTGTGCTTAGGAAACTTGGCTTGAGCCTCGGACTAGGCATGAAACAAGTGCTAGTGCACATGCCGTCAGTGGTCATGCCTTAGATGTGCGCTTGAACAAACAAACAGGTATGGAACGAGTTTTTGCATCTAATAGAGGTATGGAACGAGGCTTTGCATCTCACAGAGGCCAGGAACCTCGTTCCAAAGGCACCATTGACAAAGAAGAGGTCTGGAACGAGGTTCTGCATCTCATACAAACAAACATGTTGTGCATCTCAAAGAGGCAATGGCAGTGAGGCGAGGAAACACACGCTTGGAGGTGTGTTGGCCGATGGCACCATTGACAAAGAAGAGGTAGTAGCCTGGTTGAAGGCCCTGTGAGGCGAGGGAGGGGGGAAAAAGGAGATGGGGGGGGTAGAGTGTGGTGGAAACAGTGAGATGAGGGGCATGGCAATGGGAGGCAGAGGGGTATGGAGTGTGGTGGTGGTGCTCAGCAGACCAATTTGCTGAGGGAGACAAGGTGGAGGAGACGAGGAATTGACAGAAACGAGGCGTTAGCAAAGGGAGACAAGGTGGAGAGTGTGGGACGGGTGGGGACGTGCAAGGGCTTTTGAGACGACTCACATGCCAGAGCGCGGAGACGACTCACATGCCAGAGCGCGGAGACGACTCACATGCCAGAGCGCGGAGACGACTTGAGTGAAAACGAGCGTCCACATGGTGGGCTTGCCCGAGCGAGGTGTCACCCGGTCGTACACGTCTGAGGGAGGGGAAGCAGGGGGGAGTGGGGAGGTGGGCAGGTTGGAGGATGAGCAATCTGTCGGATGGGAGAAAGACGTGCTTTTGAAAACGAGCGCCCACATGGTGGGGTTGCCCGAGCGAGGAGTCACCCGGTCGTACACGTCTGAGGGAGGGGAAGCAGGGGGGAGTGGGGAGGTGGGCAGGTTGGAGGATGAGCAATCTGTCGGATGGGAGAAATACGTGCTTCTGAAAACGAGCGCCCACATGGTGGGCTTGCCCGAGCGAGGAGTCACCCGGTCGTACACGTCTGAGGGAGGGGAAACAGGGAGGAGTGGGGAGGTGGAGAGGAAGCGTGGATTGGAGCGGTCTGAAACAAATTGCGACTTGAAACAAATTGCTACTTACAACAAATTGCGACTTGAAATGTACCTGTTCGAGAGCTTGCACGCCATGCCCCAGACTGTTCAAGAGAATGCTTGCCGTCCTCTCCTCACCTCCCTCCTGCCTGCTTCCACTTTCGCTTTCTCAACCACCTGCATCCTACCACTGCCGGCTCCCATCCCCATGTATGCGACGCACCAACCCCGAGACCCCAAAAACCTAAATCTTGATAAGACGTAACCCCCAAAGGCCTGCATCGAGTCCTACGCACATGTGCGCCACAGCCACGAGCCGACACCCATGTTCCAGTAGGCATGCAGCCCAAACGCGTAACTCTAAACCCATGGGGGACACCCCATGACTCAACCAAGCAATCCCACCCACATGTGCGCCGCAGCCACGTGCCGACACCCATGCTCCAGTAGGCAGCCATTTCCCCACTCCCTAAACCTGAAACCCCAAACCTGCCACCCTAGTCACGCATACTTCACCGGAAGGTCCCATGCACATGTGCACAGCGCAGCCAGGTGCCGACGCCCATGTTCCAGTAGGCGGGCATCTGCGCCAGACTCGTCCCTCAACCGCCCACGTTGCCCTCCTGCCCCCGTCGCCCCAGGGTGTTTGCCCCAAAGCGCGAGTTCACACCCACACGCACTAGCCCAAAGAGACCTACGCACCTGTGCCTACTGGAACACAAGTTCCAGTAGGCAGGCACCCGTGCCAGACCCGTCTCTCATCTACCCACTCTCCGCACTCTTGGTGCCACGCACATGTTCACAGCCCCCCCCCCCCCCACACTAGCCGAAAGAGTCCCACGCACAGGTGCGGAGCCACGTGCCGACGCCCATGTTCCAGTAGGCAGTCGTCTGCGCCATACTCGTGGTGATCTCACACTTGATGAAATTGGCGTTCTCTGCCCGGCTCCTGGAGGAGGGGGGAAGTGGACGGAGCGGAAGGTGGGGCGGCAGGATGTTTGGAAGATGTGGAGGCATTCGAATGGATGGGTAGGGGAGAGGTGTGGGATGGTAAGAAACAACAATGAGAAGGAATGGGCGTCAGCGCATTGGGCTTCTCATATGAGAAGCCATGTGCTGACACCCATTCCATTTCATTCAATACATTTTGCAAGATATGAGCATTTCAAATCCGCCCGGTACGCTCCCTACATGTGCGCATTAAGACCAAACTGATCAGACCATCGCTTGGTGACTTTTGAGTCGACCTAAAAGTCACCTCGGTAGGGGCGAGATGTGGGATAATAAGAACCAACAATGAGAATGAACAGCCCCACGAGATGCGACCATCTTTTTCCATCAGAGAGCAAGCATTAGAAATTGGCCTACGTGACGAGTCGCTTAGCTAATTCACCAGAGAAAACGGCAAAGGTTATCAGGAGAGCAAGGCGAAGGAGTCGGTCTAGGTGGGGTTTATAGATTCTCAAAATACATCCTCAACCATATCCCAAACACTTTCAGAGTCAACTGGAGAAGGAGTTGGTCCAGCCGGAGAAGTGGGATGCAGAAAGAGCAACAGCAGCCTCTACCACTTTCCAAGTGGACTTCATTGTGAGATCTAGGAACTCACCAGTCTGGACGCGAGGAGTCGGTCCAGCCAGAGAAGCCGAATCCAGAGAGGATCAATGCGGCCTCCGCCACACTCCAGATGAAGTAGTAGGAGCAGCGGAAGCCGATACCCGCAATCACCAGGCAGCCCCACCTGTCGGTCACAGGGGGGATCAGAACAAGGGGACGGGGTGATGGGGGAGAAGGGTGGGAAGAGATGAAGTAGTAGGAGCAGCGGAAGCTGATACCCGCCATCACCAGGCAGAACCACCTGTGATGTGATGTGAGGGGAGATGGAAGAGGATTTTCCAGTCAACTCATAAGCCACCTGACCTGAGTATGGAAGGCAGATACTTGCGATTACCGGGTAGCCCCACCTGTGATGAAAGGGGTATGGGAGAAAGAAGGGGAGGTGGAGGGGGGAAAGGGCGGGGAGGTGGGGTGCAGTGGTGAGGGGGTATGAGAAGCGGGAGCAGGTGACAGGGGGGGCCCCACCCCCCGCGGGTGGCAGGGGGGGACGGGACGGCAGGGAATTGGGAGCAGAAGTGGTGGTGGAGGGATGAAGAAGTGGCAAACGCTGCTCTGATCTGGGCTGCACTGCACCGCACACACTCACTTGTATGCAAGCCCGTAGGTGAGGAAGCGGGGCTGGAAGAGCAGGGCGGGGCCGAAGTGCTGAGAGAGGAAGTGGTGCATCGCCAGGCAGATGATCGCCTTCCCCAGCGCCTGCGCTGCATACGGCAGCGGCTCCGGCATCTTTCGCAGCTTCCTCTCGCCCTTCCCCTCGCACACCTTCTCGCCCTGCGCCCTGTCCGCCTCCCCCTTTCCGTTCTCCGCCTGCTGCCCCTCCTCCCCCTTGCTGGCGTCAGCTGCCTTGCTTGGCACCACGGCCCCAGAGGGCGACCATAGCTGGGCGAGGCATGGGTGAACACAGGGGAGACAACAGGGGCGACGGCAGGGGTGAAGACAGAATTGAAGACAGGGTTGCAGGTACAGGGTACAGGGGGCGCAGGAGTGGGGAGTCGAAGGACAGGGGGGGGACCGGAGACAGTGGGCCCCGTCCCCAGCCAGCCACATCAGCCTGCTATCGCTTCAACTTGACCAAGCCACATAAGCCTGCTATCGCTTCAACTTGACCAAGCCACATAAGCCTGCTATCGCTTCAACTTGACCAAGCACCGCGTGTATTCGGTCGCATACCTCCCTCCTTCTCCTTCACTTCCCTCCCCGCACTCGCCTTTACCCATTGCTCAGCAACGTACGACTGGTACTTGTTGAAGTTGGTCACAAGTTTCACGAGCGCGGCGCTTGAGGCGCCTCAAAACCCGCACTCGCCTTTACCCTTTGCTTGCTCAGCAACGCACGCCTGGTACTTGTTGAAGCTGGTCACAATTCGAATGAGCACGACGCTTTCTGCCCTTCGTCCCACTCAAACACCACCCCAAAACACTCGCTTCGTCCTTCCTCCCAATCCCTGCACTCACACCTCCTTAGAATCACCCCTTGCCTAGCAGCATACGCCTGGTGCTGTTGCTTGAATTTGAACACGAGTCCCACCCCACCCCACCAGCATGGCACTGGTTGAGACGCCCTTCTTCCTCCCAACCCCCCACTTCCTCCCGCCCCCCCACTTCTTCCCACCCCCCCCACTTCCTCCCTCCCCCACACTTCCTCCCACCCCCCCACTTCCTCCCTCCCCATCACTCCCCGTCCCCCGCACTGACCCCTTGCCCAGCGGCATAAGCCTGGTACTGCTTGAGGTTGAAGACGGGTCCCACCAGCGCGGCGCCTGGGAAGAACACCAACGACACAAACTCCACCACTGACGGCAGCTGCGCCAGCCTGTTGCTGTACGTGCGGCGCTGCGCCTGGGGGGAGGAGAGAAGGGGGTGGAGTAGAAGGATGTGGGTGGAGTGTTGCGTGCATCCCGAAAGAGCCGTGGCAGCCTGTTGCTGTACATGCGGCGCTGCGTCTGGGGGCGGAGACGGGCGGAAGGACGGAGGAAGAGAGGAAGAGGAGTCATCATGTGGTGAACAGGCGTGGCAGCCTGTTGCTGTACATGCGGTGCTGCGCCTGGTGGACGCGAGGGGGAAGAGGAGAAGAATGTGAGTGGACTGTTGCATGTCCCGAGAGAGCCGCACCAGCCTGTTGCTGTACATGCGGTGCTGCGCCTGGTTGGCGGGGAGAGGCGGAAGGACGGAGCAAGGGGGGTGGAGAAGTGGTGGGAAGGGGGAAGAAAGGAAGAAACATCAATCTGTGTTGAGAATGTTGCGCGCCAACCTATTCTTGCACATGCAGTGCTGCGCCAACCTATTCTTGCACATGCAGTGCTGCGCCAACCTATTCTTGCACATGCAGTGCTGCGCCAACCTATTCTTGCACATGCAGTGCTGCGCCAACCTATTCTTGCACATGCAGTGCTGCGCCAACCTATTCTTGCACATGCAGTGCTGCGCCAACCTATTCTTGCACATGCAGTGCTGCGCCAACCTATTCTTGCACATGCAGTGCTGCGCCAACCTATTCTTGCACATGCAGTGCTGCGCCAACCTATTCTTGCACATGCAGTGCTGCGCCAACCTATTCTTGCACATGCAGTGCTGCGCCAACCTATTCTTGCACATGCAGTGCTGCGCCAACCTATTCTTGCATATGCAGTGCTGCGCCAACCTATTCTTGCACATGCAGTGCTGCGCCAACCTATTCTTGCACATGCAGTGCTGCGCCTTGGATGTCAACCTTCGTGGAGCATACCTTCTAGCCCAGCAGAGCGCCGTCCTGGTTATCCATCACGCAGCTGGCAATCTTAAGCGGGAACATCATGAGCGTCAAGACTTGTTACCATGTTACCAAGTTACAACGATGCCGTGTTACCTTGCTACCATTGCAAAGCATACCTTGTCGTCCGGCAGTGCGCCATCCTGGTAGCCCATGGCACAGCTGGCGATCTTGAATGTGAACACCATGAACGTCCAGCCTTATTATCATGTTGCCACAATATCTTGTTACCTCGTAACCACCACCGCAGACAATACCTTGTCCTCTGGCAGTGCGCCGTCCTGGTAGTCCATGGCGCACCCAGAGATCTTAAGCGTGAACACCATGAGTGTGCCCGTGAAGTCCACGCCTCCCTGCCTCCACACGTCCGCTCCCAGGTTGCTTATGTGACTGAATGGTTCAAGTGAAGAAATGCGCAGTCACGGATTCCATATCCCATTTAAATGGGACGTTTCAAAGCGAATCCGCCTACACAAGTCCGCTCGCAGAATGTAACTCTCTGGTCCATGCGAGAAAGTGCGTATTCCTGAAAGGCTAAAATATTCGCCCCCCTGTTGTTCATGTGGTCGGTGAGTTCAGGCAGAAAATGCCATAATCTTATGACGGATCACATCGTAACGGTGTTGGGTTCAAGAAGGGTCAAGCTTCAAAGACTTTGCAGGGTGTTTTTGTGAGAATTCTCAAACACCCCGCAAAATCAGGGTCAAGCTTCAAAGACTTTGCAGGGTGTTTTTGTGAGAATTCTCAAACACCCCGCAAAATCAGGGTCAAGCTTCAAAGACTTTGCAGGGTGTTTTTGTGAGAATTCTCAAACACCCCGCAAAATCAGGGTCAAGCTTCAAAGCCGGGGGCACTAACTAGCACCCCATGCGAGAGTGGAAAGCACGAGACAAGAAAGAATGTTTTCTTCAACAAAACCTTGATGTGATTCTTACGATGCGACATTGGGACGGGAACAGAAGACAAAACCAAGAGATTGAGAAAGGTGTGGAGGCGTACCAGTAGGTGAGGTAGGTGAAGGAGCCAAAGAGCACGCCGTAGCCGCTCCACTTGCGAGGAAGGACGAGCATGAGCGCGTACGACGCGAGGGTGAAGCCCCAGAAGTTGAGGCTCGCTGCATTGGCGAAAGCACGCGATGGAGTGGCGATTTCGATCAGTGGAGCGATATGATGGGACTTGTGATAAGATTGCAGATAACAGACTGCTGGCGGTCTAGCTGGCTTCAAGCAAAACCGACTTGCTGAATGCATTCCAGTCACTTGCGACGAGAACCACTGAAATGGAACACGCGTATGCTGCTAGGTACCACAGAGGGTTATGAGACTTGCCGTGAAGGCCGCCATACGCCACCCAGCAGAGAGCCCCTCCGGCGGCAATGCTGTAGAGATGCTTCAGCGTGGGACCCGGGAAGAAGCGCACGACCAGAGCCGCGGGGATGGACGAGAAGAGGCAGAGCAGGAGGGTGATCAGGGAGGGAGCCACTCCCAGCGACGCCGCTAGCTCCTCTGAGATCGACATGCCTGTCTATTCAAGCTGGTGCTCCCTTTAACTATATATGAGTTAAGAGACACTCGAGATAAACTTGGTGCATGTGTGGTTTTTGGTAGCTGATAAGATAGCTCACGGGCGTCGCGAACTTCATGCCTGATTATCCACCTCGTAACTCCCCGTAAACTTGGTGGATTGGTTCGCTTTTGCCGAACACCCATTCGACTGCCAGCGTCAGCTGTTTCCATGCTGTATGCAATCCTCTCAAAGTTGTTGGGCGAAATGCTATTTCGTTTGCCAAGTAATTCTGATTTTGACGAAGAGAAAAGCTAGAGAGTACGGTGAAGATGCACGAACGGCAGATGGACGGACGTGATGAGCTGCGAAATGCTGGAGGCTCTGGACTGGCACGTGGTAATGTGACGCTTGAGAGTGGATTGACCCGGTAGAGATAAACCCGGCGGAGAGTAGTTAGCTCATAGGACAACATCACCTGCATGCAAATTTTTCCAGTGCGATTTACGAATGTAAGTAACTCACGGCCGTCAGGAAAGGCGCTGGAGAACCGTTAACTGCCCGCGGTCAGAAAAACATAAACCCCGTCCGGATGACATGCGATTGGGGAGCCTCAACCCTAAACACGGGTAACCCCGAGGTTTTTCCGCCGGGCCGACATTTGTCCTCCCATTCCGTCAATTGCATACACTCGCAAGCCAGCACTGGCGAAATCTGAATGCCAGTGGAATTGACCGGTTAGCTCATCCGATAGCAATCATTTCCCGGGTAGTTTGGGTTGTTGGATTGGGTTCCCACGCTTTCTACAAAGCACACCTTTGTGCGCTTCCCGCTTGAAATTGGCGGGGCGCGTCAGAGTGCCAAACAAGGTGAAGTCCTATATTGTAATGATGTGCTATGATATCCATCAAATACAGTCATCGCCTATAAATAAATTAGTTAGGTACAGCGGATGTTATTTATTACTACACAGGCCATACATATCATAAACGCCAACTCAATGCCACCTTCCAACTGAATTAAACTAACCTAGAAAGTGATCATGTGGCTTCATATATGAAAGCACTCGTGTCTCCATACATAGAACCCCATGTAGGATAAGTAAGCACCCCACGACAACGCGCTATGGCGCCCCTCAAACTTGAGCCTCCACCCAAAGAGCTCCCTCCCACGTCCTCGATGTCCTCCCCCTCGTTATCCACCAAATCAATATTGCGCAACCCGTAGATGATGCAATGCAAAGCAACATGACCTAAGCCTGGACCAGCTGCAAAGCCACTCCGATTATCGCCTTCAGGGACCTCAAGAGAGGTATGAAAAAATTCTAAGCGTTTATCGCTTTCAAATTTGTGTATTGTGAAAACGAAGCTGACTGTAACGCAATATTGTGCTGTCAGAGGTCCACTGGTGATCCCCGATTGATCCTAAGGAAGGGTTACAGGCATGTTGGCCTGGGGGGTTATGGGCGCACTGACCCGCTACTTAACAAGCCCTTTTATCCCAATGGTCTAGTGGTTGGGATTCTGACATGGTATCAGAGCGAAGGTTTCGGGTTCGAATCCCAGTGTGTGCACTTCGGGCATCCCAGTGCGGGGGGGTGTCAGAGGTCCACTGGTGATCCCCGATTG